TTTGGAAGTGGAAAAAACAATTAAACTATTTTACATTCATGAATATGAATTGCTGGGAACCAAATGGGACCCTTAATTTGATAGCTGTGTGTGTGTGTTTTTTTTTTTTTTGCATTCTAAGAGGATAAAGAAACTGTTGATAGGGTAGCTTATGAGAATATAGCATGTTGTATTATTGATTTTTTAGGATAAGAACACATCACCATATCCGGTAACCGAGCCTCGTGGTGCCGTCACTTAGGACGGAAGACTTCCGAGGTCAATATCTTAGCTCAGAGGGGTTAATCTGTCAAATTCTACATGATTGTATTCAGTCAGCAAGTGGTGATGTAATTTACTTGAAGAGCCCGGGGGGGGGCTTAGATGAGCTTAAGCCATTGATATAAGAAAAGGTTGAAATCCATGTACTTTTCTGATAACAGTTATTGGAAAAGTTATTGCACAAAGATGATTGCACTCTTTTCATAAATTATGAACCTAGGAAATAATACGTAGCAATATATATACTCTTGTTGTGTCAGAAATGAAGAATGAAGTTGGAAAACATCACTTTCCAAACTACTGAAAATAACCTTAAAAATCACTCTGCAACAAAGCTAGATTTCCCATAAACAACAGCAACAAAGAAGAAGGAAGTTATTACCATTCAGTAGCATGCCTTGGACTTGGACGAAAAGATCTCTTCCCTGATATAGTAGGTTTCACTTCACCAAGAGTAATAACGCCCATCTTCTCAAAAACCTGGAAAATCTCAGAGTTTAGCCCTATGAAAGTTATGAACCACAAGCAGCCACTAACAAGTTAGCAATACTCCATGGTTTCTGTTGCTGACAGGTTGTTGTTTAAGGACACAAAATCTCTCCTTTTCTTCTCGTAATGATCTATATTATGAAGGAGAAAGGCTGGACTCGGGGGTGAGGTGGAACTAGAAATCATGCATGATTAAAGGGTGGTGATGGCTTTAAAATATACTTTTAACGAGTGTTATGTACACAACGTGCTTTAATCTAAAGTCATTAACTATTTGGTTGTTTGTACTTTTTAGTGAAAGCCAGTGAGAGATGACCTTCTTTTTGACATGGTTTTTATTTATGAAGAAAAAAAATATTGCAGGAATCCTAAAGGGTTGCCTTGCTTTTTAGGGATGTAATCATGGCTAGTGAAAGCCACCCACATAAAATATTAGCTTAATTAACTCTTATATTATGTGTAAAGTCTTACTAAAGTAGGGTATCAAGAGGATGAGTTGGATCACATGTAATAATTAATACCACTCTCCTCTGTCCATATTACATCACTCAAAACTACTTTAAATTTTGCATATATATATGTATGCATGCATATATAGCCTATGTTAGGTCCTAGATAGAAGCCAAAGCCTGTAATTATAGTCATTTCTTTGTCACAATCACTAGGACATTACCTTAACGGGCTACAGTTACCTTACACAAACTTTGGTGCTAACACACTATTTATATGATTAAATATGAAACTCCTAACAGCTAGTTAGGGGTGGAAATGTTTACAGATTCAACCATTCTAACTACAAAAATATCCATCTTGATATTAATAGTGTTGGTTTTATTGTGTCAAGCTTCATTTAACCTAAACAAGAGTGTATATATGTACTCTTGGAATGGCAAACTGTTGGATTAATTATGATCAAAGATTGCATGGATCAAGTGGTAATAATATCCAATCAATTCTTGTTTTTCCCCTCTTTTGTACATTTAATTAGCTTTAAAGTTTGTCTCATAACATCCTAGCCCTCATTATATCTGGATGAGATGAAATTATTCCGACATTATTTTTTGATTTACAAATATTCTGATATTATTTTTGATTTACAATATTTAAATTAAGAATTTTAGGGTAAGGAATATCTAATTCTTTATTATTTGACTCGATAGATAGTGATGATAAAATGTCACTTTTTTTCCTTTCTTGGTTAGGCTTGATAACATCATTATGTTGTCCTCCTCTGTGTTATGTGCATGACTACTCAAATTCAATTAGGAATTTTTTTTTCTGGGGTGTGGGGGATTAAGGTTTGATTTTCATTTAATTGTTTATATTATCTCTTAGGTAGGCACATCATGAGCAACTTATAGGTCTCTTGTGACAAAAGACCTCTTAACTTTTGACTTTTCTTTCTTTTGAAATCCCATTTCATTAGAGCACACACCTTTAGATTTTTAAATGTTTGAACCAGGCATTATGACATTGAGCACCTACACCAGGAAAAAAGAAAGCAGTTTAACAGATTGGTTTTAACATGTTCACCTGTATTAAAAGTTCAACATATCCATATCGAACATGTACGAGTTGATCTTCGGTGTTCGATTTGAAATGAGAAATCCCGATTCCGGGTTCGATTTCTTTCAGAATGTCCCATTAAACCTGTATCAGCCAAGAACATGGGAGGACAGAGCCCAGAGCTGGACATTGATACCAAAAGCCAAAAGGGGATTTTCTCTTGGCCCTCTTTTTTCATTTTGTTTTCGAGTAAAACACAGGTGAAGAGGGGGAAATCAGTTTTGAATCATTAGTACAGCAGCTGGACAAGCAAAGCAAAGTTGGTGCCTACAATTATAGTTACAGTGAACATGTGAGCCCGCCCTATTATATTATCATAGTGACTTGCTGCAAATAAAAGGTTGTTGATCGTGTGGGGGTGTATGTATATGCTTAATCATGATCTTACTATAATCATTTATGAAGCTGAAGATTTTTTAACCTGTTCTGCACTTTCTGGTCTTTGCCATGCTCGAATCAAAGGGTTACTTTCAAAATATTGAACCATTGATTGTCTAAGTGTCTTCTTGCACGTGGGTTTGTTCATTAAGAACAGCTCTTCGGCCCTGTTTCTTCACATCCTCACCCACTTTGAAGCCATTTTTTTGTAAGAAGGAATTTATTAAGAACGTAAAGAGTAACAAACAGTTTGATGTCAAAATTTCACTTAACATGGCTATTAGGGAAACTATACGGTTGCTTTCATGCAAGTAAAACATGGGAGTTTATGGCCATTTGGCCATAAGTTCAAGCAAAGCAGGAAACATGGCTTTGTCATCAAAACAGGGAAACACTTAAAAAGTGATGGTTGCGAATGCACAAAAGTTCAACAGTGATTTACCAACTGATTGGTTCAAGTGGTTATTAACTTGATATCGTTTAAATAGGTCTCGAGTTTAAATTTGAGTTCGAGTAGACAGAAAATCTTCATTGTCAATGCGGATCGATCCGGATGAGTGGGGATGAAACCCTGGAAGAAGAATCGAAAGGACGCATGTACCACTCTCCTCCAGTGGCCCTCCTCCCTGTGGTTCATGAAGATGGGGCACGAGTCTTTCTTTGAATTTAGTTAGCATCAGTTTTCTTTTTTCATTTATTTACCAAAAAAAGAATGTAATGTGCGCCCTCTGTCCACTGAATCCGGTGAAATCCAATGATTAACTATTTAACTTCCCCTATTTAACACGAGCAAAAAAAATATTTCGTTACAAAGGAATTGTTATTATATTTTAAGGACCTGAGTTTAAACACCATAAATATTAAAATATTAGTATTTAATGTCGAAAGATTGAGAGTTATTGGTAAACTGTCTTATACTTAGTTCAGATTTATTAAAAAAATAAGCCACCTATTTGATTTATGTAATTGTCCCGTCTAGCAATTGAAAAGTATTTTTTGGTTAAAGCTATTTTTATATCCAGATAATCTTTTGAAGAAAAAAAGAGTTTAAAAAATATATTTTTCAAAAGTTAAGAAAATCACTTTTTGTATTAAAAACTATGTTTATTTTATAATTTATGTTGTTATATTTTCTATCAAGATATAGTAACATCATCAATAAATAAACTTTTGAATTTTTTTATAAGAGTTAATTGCATCACATGTCCCCAAACTATATCCCTCATTTTAAATTGATCTTTAAACTTTTGAATATTTCAATTTTATCCCCAAACTATGACCCTCATTCCAAACTAGTTCTTAAACTTTTGTGCATTCTAATTTCATCCTTAAACTATGACCCTCTTCTTGAATTTGTCCTCAAACTTTTGAATATTACAATTTTATCCCTAAACTCATCCAAATTTATAATTAGTTTCAATCATAATTTAACCTAAATTTTTTTTACATATAATAATATAACTTGGCGTAATGATTTTATTAACAAGAGATGTGATTAGTATCTACGTATAGTTTGAGATGAAATTGGAATGTTCAAAAAGTTCAATGACCAATTTAGAATGAAGGTCATAGTTTGGGTATAAAATTAAAATGTTCAAAAGTTTGAAGATTAATTTAAAACGATAGTTATAGTGTAGGAATGAAAATGGAACATTGAAAATTTTATGAACCAATTTAAAATAAGGGCAATACTTTAAGGACATATTATGCAATTAACTCTTTATAAAAAAAATCAATTAAACACTCAAATTCAACTAAAAAAATAAATAAATTCCTCTATTACATTAATATCATTAATATCATGGATTATGTTAACCCCGTCAATTGTTACATTAGTATCTTAATGATTTCATCAATCAAATGATAATATTAATAAAGAGTTTAAGACCAAACTAATACAACTAAAAAAATGGGATACAACCAACAAAGTTAATTCAAGTGGTAAGCAACTTGATTCCACTTACGTAAATCTCGAGTTTGAGTTCTTGTGAATACAAAAAATCTCTGATGGAAAATTCACCCACCAAAATCAAGTATGTAACCAGGACCGATTCGAATTAGGAAGGAGAAAAAAAAAGCGAGATACAACATTTTACTAATTTAAGAAAACTAAAAGGGCAAAATTACCCCCTTAAATCATTTTTGTAAATAAGTTGACCCCTCATGAACAGAACTATCCTTGAGGCAAACATAAATTGTCTCCATCAAAGCTTTTCCCACCTACACCCTCGACAAAAGCAGAGCAATACCGACACCTTTTAGCCCTTTCAATATAGAAAAAATACAAACATGGGGAAGGGGCATTGAGAACAATCCAGGTCATGTGTTCATTGCAAAATGATGTACATAACACATCAAGCTCAAAGGATAGTCACAGGCTAACCTGATATGGTGGCTTTATGTTGTGATTATTTGGAAGGTATACTACATACTCTGCTACAACAGCTTATTGCAGATAATTTTGACGGTAATAAAAAATACAAAGCTAGGCATAAATACAATTCAGTTCTACTCTGAGGTAATGCAGATTGGTTGATAGGCCTTGCACCTGGTAAATGTAACTTTGCACAGTTGACTATAATGTACTCATATCTATTAATAGAAGAAGAAAAACCTCCCATATCTGCCAGGTAATGAAGAATGGCTCTTGCATTTTACATCAATTTGTGCCACAAACCTCGCCACCCTGTCTTGTGCTTCTGCTACTGCTTAGAGGAACAGAACTCTGATTTGAAAGCTGCAAATCGGAAAGGGGAACGGAACCTGACTGCGAAAAAATCAAACCAACCGAACTACTAGATGTGCCAGCAGAAGAAGGAATTCTGCTCAAATAAGAATCCTTCTTAGGACCGGGAATAAGCTCCAGATGTAAATCAGAAGAAGATGAAGCAGGTGCCAATGTAGCCAGTAAAGACCCAATTTGATAAGGAGCAACCGGCATATCAATTAGAGATGATGCTGATGGACTAAATCTTATTGTTCCCACAGGGTGATCGAATTTGCATGTGGACCCAAACTTGCAGTGTCCATTCTGCAAGTAGAATGAACAAGGCTGCATACCCTGTTTACAAGAAAGAATCAAATCACACCAAGTTTTAAAAACTCGAGTAATTAGGATAGACACTGCATCTCAACATCACAGAACTGTGAAAGTAACTAATTCTAATATCCAATGACAACTTTGATGAATCTAAGTCATCTAGTAAGCAATAACTAGATTCCTGAGTTCTAAAGGCCAGAAAAAACCCTTCAACAGTATACTATTTGCAGGTGTAAACAATAATAAAAGTGTTAAAAGTGTATGAAGAAATCTCAAATCTATTAACGATGACCATTATTGAAACATTCTCAATCTTACACTTGAGCATTGATTAAAAGTGAAATCAAAGGTAAAAAGGCTATCACTACACTTGAGCATTGATTAAAAGTGAAATCAAAGGTAAAAAGGCTGTCGCTTCCTTTCTTTCCTATCTAAAGAACAAAACTTTGAACTCCATAGTAGATAAATTAAAAAACAGAATCTCAGACTTCTAGGGCAGTCGCTCAAAGTCAATTCCAGAGGTATTTACAATATATTAATCTAACCAAACTTGCTTTAAGAAAGCAAGATTTTGAAGCCAATATCCCTATAAAAGCAAAGTCTAAGTGACAGCATTCTAACAAAATGTCATCTTGAGCATAAAACACAAGATAAAGAGATTAAGAGTGTTCACATACCGGATGTAAAGGAAGTCCCATTGGATTGAGGGCACAATTTGTTCGTGGCAGAACCCTGTCTTTGGGATGATGATACCTACAAGATGATCCAAATTTACAATCACCAGTTCTCAAATAGTATTGGCATTCAGGTTCACCGGGTCTCTCTGGGAATGTTTGTTCCTTCTGGTAACTGCTTGAAGGATCAGTAGAAGAGGACAAGGAAGAATAGGGTCTCACAAATGAGGGTGTTGAAGAAGATAGCTGCGTTAGTCCATAGAGTGAAGTTGCTTCAACAGCCGGTTGCGCACCAGGAGAGAGTGCTGGGCTTATGGGCGCCTGCACAAAGCAAGTTAAAAACAGCTTCAGGAATCCCATTAACTTTGGCATTATTGTAATGCAACAATGCTGATTATCCTACCGAATAATGACTCCAACCCGGAATAGGAACTACTCCAGGGGAAAAGAGCACAGGAACATAAGCCCCTTGAACATATGAACCAGGCATTAGTGGAGGCCTTGTCACTCTCACACTGGTGGATGCTCCCCCATATTGTTCAGGCATAGTACCCGAAGGAGACTGCACCGACTGATAAAATTGAGGTGCAGATGCTGGCATTGATGTGCCAGCTGGCTGAGGATGATGGAATTTACAAGTAACACCAAATTTGCACTGCCCCATTTTCAAATAGTAGGAGCATTCTTCCTCGTCCTGTTAATGCATGCACATCAAACCAGTTCTGGAAGTTTTTAAGAATACTCAAATAGATATATACAAATTGAGAAAGAAAAGATGAGAAGAGAAGAGATCATCCAAACCGGTCGTAATGGATATCCATATATATTAAGTGGAACACGGCTAAAGGATCCACCTCCGTGTTTTGGATGGTGAAACTTACAGGATGCACCAAATTTACAAGTCCCGGTTTTTAAATAAAACTGCAATAACCACAAAAGCACAAGTTAGGGGGGAAATAAAGAAAAGGTCTTTGCAACATTAATTAGAAAAGGGGCTGATTCATTAACAAATATTTTTTCTTTTACCTGGCATGCTGGTTCCCCAGGTCGTTCAGGGTACTCCCCTGTAGCTCTTACAGCAGCCTCAACCTAAATGGCATCACAACCAAATAAATATGAGCAACTAAACTCTGACAATAGGCTTAAATCGAAATACATGGGGAAAAAATCATTCCAGACATCTGACAGATCATTAAGAATATAAGAGAAGGGCTCCTTGTATATCGATATGAAACTATTAAAATTAAATTCACTTAGTTACACCTCATCTGTCGCTGTTAGCAGTCAAATGCAACATCAATAAATACTCTTCATTCTATTTCCACTAACCAATATCAGTTGAATGTAAAGAACCAGACAGTACAACTGAAATCAATAAAGAAAAAAGAAGGAAAACCACATTTATTGAAGCAAACGATAAAAGGATTTTACTCACCGCAGCACGGTTGCGAGGGTGATTGTACCGGCACCTAGTACCGTACCCGCATAGACCGGTTCGCATGTAGTAAACACAGTCAGGTACCCCAGGCCGTTCCGGGTACGATTCAGTACCTCTCAACGACAACTGCCACATCGATTCTGCATTAAACCAAAGAAATACTACTAAAACACCTAATTCACTCTCCGTATGGCAAAAACCCTAAATCCCCGGATAAAATTAAGTTCTACCGAGGTGATACCGTTATAATGCGGGTAGAAAACCGGGAAAATAACGGAAAATACCTTCCAAGCCAGTTCCGGGACCGGCGGGGCTCCATTCGGGCTGGTGAACCGATTGCGACACGCTCCGTGTCGGGTTTCGACCGTACAACTCCATCGGAAACGGAGGGCGGGGCGGGTTCTGTTACTTCTGACTAGCTTACCAACTACAGAGAGAGAAAAAATGGAGGCTCTACACTCTACAGAGAACAATGGAAGGTTATAGAATGACCGGAAAGAGGTCGATCGACGGTGGAAATAAGCTGAGAAACAATGAGGAGGAAGAAGAGAGGTAGAGATTATTTGTTTTCCCTGTATTTGAGCTTTTGTTTTTTCTTCTCTCTACATTCTCTCTCTCCCTTGCTCTCCAATACCGTACGTCTGGGTTCGGGGCCCATTTTACAGCTTCGTTTATTTATTCATGTTTTAATGTCTAGTGATATTAATAAGGATAAAGTATGAAAATGGTCCCGACTATATAGGATCATGTTTATTAAGTCCTTTAACTATTAAAATTTATAAAATGATCATTCGATTATACAATGTTGCTTTGTTAAGTTTTTTACTATTAAAAGTTACAAAATGATCACTCGATTATTCATTATGTTTTAAACTCATCCTTTTTCATTTCAGTTGTTTAAGTTGAACGTTAACATGATGATTGAGATTTTGTTATTAGATTTTATCATATTAGTGTCAATATGTTAACGTTCAGCTTAGAATATCATCTATTTCTTAACGAAAAGGGACGAGTTTTGTACGTAATAAATAGTCGAGTGATTGTTTTGTAATTTTAAATAATGGAGAGACTCAACAAAGCAACACTCTATAATCGGATGATCATTTTATAACTTTTAATAATAAACTATCCAAGCTCACATAGAGTTTTTTTAGGTTGTGAGAAAATTATTTTTTAAAATCATATTAGTATTTTAGCAAAAATAGTTAACTGGATTATATTTTGGATTAAATACGTGGAATTATAAGGGTGCGTTTGGTTCACGGAATGTAAGATTACCAGTGGGAATAAAAGATAACCAGGGAATAGGATTACTGGGAATGTTGTATTTTGTGTTTGGCAGGAATGTAAGATTACCGTGTTTGGTTAAAGGAATAAAAGATTATTAAAATGTATATTTGACCAAATTGTCCTTATTATATATTTGTATAATATTACAAGTTGTAAAATATTTATATATTTTCTTTAAAAAATTAAATTCATAATATTTATATAATTTTTTTACAAAATTAAAAATATAAAAAAGGTTTAATGAAAGGGTAAAATTTTATTTTAACCCCTGAACTTCATATAAAATTTTAATTATAGATTTTTTTGTAAATCTAAAATAATTTAAGGATAAATTTGTAATTTAACATTCGTATAATTTTTATTATTCCATGACAGAAGAAGGATATTTTTGAAAAAAAATAAAAATTTAAGGGCATTTTAGTCTAAAACACCGGTAATGTTACAATACCTAAGAGAATGGGGGTAATGACATTCCCGGTAATATACCCCAAAAAATCCACTATTGGTAATAAAACATTACCGGGAATGACATTCCCGGCCAAACCAAACGGGGGAATGTGGATTCCATTCCCGGGGGAATCCCACATTCTCCCATCCAAACGCCCCCTAAGAGTAAAGAAATGAATAACGTCGAATTAAAATATAAACTCAAAATTTAAATTTATTATACTTATGGTAGAGGGACCAAAATTTTTGTTGTGTCGAAACCAGGGTTTAGGCATAACCAGGCGTAAAACATGCAACCGACACTTGTTTGAAACGGAAATGACTCGTATAACCTTGTACTTCGTTCAAGCGAAACAACCAAATTTTAATTCAAAATTAATATTTGACATATTGTTTTTAATATGGGTAAATTACATCAATGATCACTAATGTTTGAGTAATTCTTTATTTTCTTACTGAAGTTTTAAAAGTGGCAAATTGATCACTAACATTATCGATTTATAACAAAATGATTACTCCACCGTTATCTCCGTCAAATTGATGACGTAGTAACATTAATATAAAGGTTAATATTCAGTTTTACCCTTATATTACTATTAAAATATCAAATAATAATATCAAATTTACCCTGAAACTTTTTAATTTGAAAATATAAGAGACTATATCGACCCTTATCGGGCAAAAATAACGACATATAGCTAACACCAATAATTATGAACAAAAGTGAAGCAAATTTATGATTATTTGTTCACCAGCAATTGAGTTCGCCATAGTTATGACTGTTATACCTAGAATCGAAGTGGATATTACATACAAAACTACTCCAAATGCGGCTGCGCACAAATAATAATACAAAAATAAAGAATGATCAAAGCAATGTCAAAAGTATTTGGTTTCCTTATATTTAACTATCTACAACAAAATCTTTTAGTTTTGCTGAAATTAAAGAAATTCATAAAGTAAATCCACTACAAATTAACTTATTAGAATCTATTGTGATATTTAAGCATGGTACAATTGTAGTCCCAAGAACTAAAGAAAGAAAAAGTTATCAATTATAAATAAAATGTGTATGTTTTAAATATGGGTATAAGCATATGTAAACTAGAGATTCGGGAGTTAGTCAGATTCAAAAAATACTTTTCTACATTACAGTAGTAGTTGTATTATTTTTTTTGAGTAGAGAAATGGTGAAAGGATAAAGAGTTTGTTTTTGTGTCAACTAGAGCTTTTGAGGAATAGATCTGAGAAAAAAATGAAGTTAGGTAACACAAAATTATTACAACGATGGAAACCATGGATAAATGTGTTATTTCAGTATCAGTTAAAGCTTTTGCTACAAGGTTTTCGTCACTTGCTCCCTGGTTCGGATGACCTAGTTTGCTTAATATATCAACTTCAACATAAAATTCACGTTATCCTTTATCTTCTTTGGATGTTGACACCTCTATTTTTCTTGATCGCAATAACTTTCAGAATACATAAAGATAACATTTGTATGTTTTCTATTACTTTTTGGTTCATTACCGCTTATTGAAGCATAACTCATGCATGGAGCAAACAAAACTATTGCTATACAAATATTAGGAAAATTATAAATACCTCCCCTGATCATTCAAAGATTTAAGTAAAAACTAACCCACCATTTTTTGGTCATTCACCAATAATGTTAACATTCAAAGTAACATCATCAGTTTTGTATCTTTTCTCGAAGTTTACAAATTGGTTAATCCCCAACCAACAATCGTTTGAACCTTTTATTTTTTTAAAATTAAAAAATTTGGTGGTAAATTTGATATAAAATTATTGTTTAAGAACATAATTGATGTTTCAAAGGTAGTTTAAGGGTAAAATTTAATATTAACATTTTTATTAAATTTGTCACATCATCAAATTAACGAAGATAATGGTGGAGTGATCATTTTGTTACAAATCGATAATATTAGTGATCAATTTGTTACTTTTGAAATTTTAGTGAAAAATACAAAAACTTACTCAAACAATAGTGGTCATTGGTGTAGTTTACTCTTTCAATAATTGGGGGTAACTACAATATATTGTTTGTTTATAATTTTTTAATTTATTAACAACACTTATACACCTTACAAACGTAATTATTCGAACTCATAAATTTTAAAGATAACAACATTTATTTATTTTTCATTGAGACCACTTAATGAGTTATTTTTCGTATTATTAATTATTTTTTATAAAATATTAAGATATGTTATATGTTAAATATTTATTTACTTTAATTGTTTTAAACATATTTAAACATAATTCTTATAACCTTAAGACCATTTGTAAAAAAAAATTTCTGCCAATGATATAAAGGGTAAACTATTAGTATAACTACTTAATTGTTATATATTTTTCATTTTGATTATCAACTTGAAAAATTATCAATTAGACCACTTAATTACTTAAGTGTGTCAATCAAACCAACAAGTCGTTAACCTTTGGCAGAGGAATTGATATTTTCAAGCTATATAGGGTATTATTTTATTAGATATATCGACTATTAAAAATTATAAAATGATTCTTCGACTAAAGAGTGTTATTTTATTGAGCCCCTTAACTATCAAAACCTATATGATCACACAACTATTCATTGTGTTCTAAAATCGTCTTTTTTCGTTAAAAATTGGTGGTGTCTAATCTGGACGTTAGCATGATGATTAAGATATGATAGTCGTTTTAGATTTCAGGATCATATTTTATCAAATCACAATCAGTAAGATAACGTTAAGCTAAGAATACCCTCATTTTCAAAACGAAAAAGGACAAGTTTATCATATTTTATAATTTATATCCCTTGCCCGGTTGCCCCCTTGTTCTTGGTTATTACCGCATTCGGTTCCCATGCTTCTCATTTAGAACATTTTAAGAAGACAGTTGTAAACATGGTTGTGTTTGTGTAAGCATTTGATCAGCGGTTGGGATACGACAATTCAAACTAGTCGTTATCTTAATGTCTTCCACTAATTTCATGATGTGCTGTGTTTGGATGACAGGGACTTAAATTTTCAACTTAAATTCCTCACATTCTCTTTTTCACTTTTTATCCAAAGAATACCCATCAAAAGTAGGACTTGTGATTACCAAAAAAATTATATGTTAACAAAACTTAACCCCCCATAAGACAAGGCATACCTTTTTATTTACTTTTGTTTATAGAAAATAATTTCAATTCCTTTTAATTTCTTAAAATGGTAAAACATGTTTGTGAAATGGAAATCATTGACGGAACTTGGTGATAACGTTTGAGGTAAATTTAAATTTTAAAAAATTTAGAAGTTTAAATTAAAATTTTTGAAGGGTTCACTTTACATTTTTCTAGAAAAATTGGTGTATAATTATAATTTTTGATAATTTGAGAAGCTTATTGAGAATTTTTAAAAATTATGGGAGAGATTTAACTAAGAATATTAAAAAAATAAAAATAATATAGGTTTCTCAAATTGAGGGGACCAAATTAAATGTTTTAAAAAATTTAAAAGCCTAAACTTTAATTTTTTTAAAAATTTTTGTGGGGCCATGGCCCCACTAGCCTCAATTACCTTCCGCCTCTTATGGGAATGAAAATTTATCTTTAAAAGTATGAATAATATACTGAAGTTGAATAATATATTGACGGGCTGGTTCAAGTGATATTAATTTAATATTGTTTAAGTATGTTTCGAGTTTGAATCATTGTGTATGTAAAAAAAAATCGTTAGAAGATTCGCTCATTGAAATTAGATATATTGCTCGAATCAGTCAGAATTAATAAGAAGAAACCTTAAAAACTGAAAAGGTAATAAAAAAATATCAACAATATCTATTTTTAATAATAAAGATGTGATATTTATTTACCTATTCAAAAAATATTTAAAATCTATTAAAAATGTGATATTTACATGCACTCGCGAGAGTATGGATTTGCATGT